ATACTACACTAGGTGTCGGATTGGGCTGTCTTTGATATGCCAATCAGTGAGATCCTTAGCGGGGGTCAAAACCTGGGTATGTTGGGACAGTCTGATAATTCATTTGAGTGAGTGATCATAGTGACATGATCAGCCCATTTGTCGGACAAAGTTAATGATCGGGGATGCACTCTCTCTGATGGAAACCAAACTGCTGGCAGTTGATTTCAATCGTTGGAATTTTGTTTTGCAAATTTTATATATATGATATATATACATATACGGTTTCAAAATGTTTGTAAATGATTTTAATTCCCAGGATCCATGTGAGTAGAGAGTGCAACACTGTTCCTTGCAGCCAAGGGAGATGTCCTCTCTTGTCGGGCAGTGTTTAATCATTATAGGCTGAGAGGTTAAGTGTAAGACCATTGAGGGTAATACCTGATGGGCTAATCTTGCATCTTCCCACAATCTCTGAGTTTTTATAAAAAGGCTTGGCCCAGGGACCACTTACTGTAAGTGTTGGGCCCATAGAGTCCATGTGATGGACTCAAGGGGTTCACTGGGCTTTCTAGTGAATTCGGCTAGGCCTTGTAACAAAGGCTGGGTTGAACCCATGTGGCTGATGTATAGATCAATGCTTGGGTCCCACGCCATACAAAGAAGCCCAACTGGGCAGTAGTTTGGAAACTTATTGAGCACTGATTACTTATTGGGCCTAAAGTCCATTTCGACCTGGGCTGATATGATCACCCACTTAAGGGGGCGTATTTGGGATTACGGTTAGCTAAAGGATTAGGGGTTAGAATCTGGTAACCTCCTAATAAGATCAGGAGTGGGCTGACCTAATATGCAGATAGGATTAAGATTATCCCCTATCCAAATGCTGATTTGGATTGGTATAACTCCTAATAGGATTAGGAGGTTTCTTAATTACTAAGAAATGAGGAAACCCTAATCTTGAATTTTCGACCTAGGGTTTTGTAGTGACTTACCCTGCAAGTTTGAGATAGGATCTCATCTTCCTAAGCTGAAATCTGCATCCACGCCACTTTCAGCCATAGGAACTCCTCTAGCCGCCGCCACCTTACTGCTTGGTTCGAACTCCTCTAAAGGGACGATCAAGAAGCTAGTTCTTGACATCAGTCATTGCTGAAAGACTGATTTGGTCCGGTGCTCTAAGCCTCCATCGGATTCTTGTGAAGAGTTCGGTGCGTAGGATGCACACTGTTGGTTCTGCTCCACCGTCGTTGTGTCATCTTCAGCGGGAGCGGATCTTGGACCTCTCTTTGGGCGTGAACACCGACGTTGGGAGATCTTGATTCTCTGTATCAGGTATAACCCTTCCCTTGATCTTTGGTTCAGATCTGGTTTGGTTTGGTTCGAGTAGGTCCTTGAATAATTGATTCTAAAATAAGGGAATATGATTCCCAGTTGATTGAAGGGAGAAAAATTTTTGAAATTCGCCCACCTATTCCACTGCTTTCTTGGCGTCCATACGATGAATTTCTCTCTCCTTTCAATTATATATAATATATAATATGTAATAAATAATATATTATATATTAATATATAATAAAATAAAATTTGATTTCATAATATATATTTTATAATATATAATATCTATTATTGTATATAATAGAGTAAATATTATTAAAATTCAATTTTAACTGAAATAACAAAAAATCAAATAAAAAATTTTGGTTTCGATTATTTCGATTTTTCTATAATTCAGTTTCGGTTCAGTTTTTTTTTAGTTTGGTTTTTTAAATTTTAATTTACTCGATTCAATTTTTAACCGAATAAACCAAATGTTCACCCTCCTCATTTGCTAGGAGACTAAGTCTCAATTCGGAAGGAGTACAAATACAAATATGTACAATGCAAATCTGTGTATTTTATTTTTGTATGTATTGCATTGTACATATTTTTATTTGCACTCTTTCCAAACTAAGCCTTAATGCAGAACAAGGAAAAATGGTATCTATAATACTATTGTCTATTGTCGCAAAGGGTGTACAAACAATACCCATCCAATATCTTACAAAGCAACAAGCAAAAGTCATTGATTTCTTAAGCAGAAGTCATTTCCATTAGTAGCCATTCAAAATTCTGCTTTTGTTTATTTTTGCATTTTGCTCTATTTTTGAAAACCCTTATTGTATCTCAAGGTATTTCGAAGTGGACTTTTAATCTAATTTCTTTTCAGCCTCTTGGTGATCTAATCGAGGCGAGTTTTGTATATTGTGAATGTCTTGTTTTGATTTGTTAGAGAGCAAATGGAGCAAAACCGGAGATGTGAAGTGCTTTGTAGTCTCTATTAGCGGACAACAGCTCCCTTAGGTAGGGGTGTTCACGGTTGGGGCATTTTTTGGAAAACCGGTAACCGGAATTTAACCAAAATCAGTCGGTTAACCGGTTGACCAGTTCGGTTAATCTTCGGTTCGGTTTTGGTCAGCTTTTTCAGCCGGTTCAATTTTCTGTT